TGTGCTGTTCAGGATGAACTTGGGCTCACTATGTAAACCAGATTGGTCTTGAATTTGCAAGTATCCTCCTCACTCAGCCTCCTGAGTGCTAGGATTACAAGAGTGTGCCACCACACCCAGCTGGGAGAGCCTGTTTTGTTTTATTTTTAAAATTCCATTGGAAACTTAAGCACGAGATGCTGCATAATTTCTACAATTTAGGGAGCTGGGGAGTTAGCTCAGCAGCATAAGCACCTACCTTGCAAGCAGGCGGTCGTGAGTTTGATTCCTGGTATCGATAAAAAAGAAAAAAACCAAAAAAAAAAAAAAAAAAAGAAAATAATTTCTACAATTTAGACTCCTGATCATTGGCTGGATCTGAGTCCAAAGTGTTTCTCTCGGCAGTGCATGCCCTCTGTGAGCCTGGTCCTTGCAGTTTTTTTTTTTTTTTTTTTTCTTTTGCCTTTTTATCAGTACCGGGGATCAAACTCACGACTGCCCGCTTGCAAGGCAGGCGCTTATGCCGCTGAGCTAAATCCCCAGCCCCAGACCCCTGCAGTTCTTAGAGCTTGAGACCTTGGTGAGCTGTCCCTCCCACCCCCTTTTTAAATAGGGTCTTGCTATGTAGTGCAGGCTGGCTTTGAACTCACTATATAGCATAGGGTGGCCTCAAACTTGTGGCCTCAGTCCTTTTGCCTCAGCCTTCTGAGTGCTGGAATTACAGATGTATGCCACCTATGTATCCTGAGACTGGCCTAAAGCTTTTGAAAATAAAACCTTTTGATATTTCATCATAGTGATCATCTTCAACTCAAGGACAAGGATGTCCCACACAAGCACTCCAGGCCCAGGTGCTCTCTGCACGTATGTTGGATGGGGGTGACAGCGGTAGTAACATCACTTTTTCATCCTCTGCCAATGAATCCAGAAGGAAAAGGGAAGGAAAAAGAGGCAGAACACCAAATGAATTCTCCACAACTCTTACACGGCTCGTACGTATTTAGCACATGTATCTCATACATATTTAGCATATATAATTCATAAATAGCCCTGCTTTAATTCAGTCTCATGATGTGTCCTTTTTAATAATGGTATTCATAGGTAACCTTCACTGGGTCCTCACCAGGTTCCCAATATTGCGTACAGTGTCTTATAAATATTATTTTGTTGCGTTCTTCGAAATTGCTCCTGAAAGATGTGTAGCGGAACGTAATGACTTCACTGCCAGGAGAAGGGGGTGAGGCGAACACGGAAAATGTAGCTGAGGATGCTGCTTAACAGCAGAGGGTGGAAGATGTGAGGCGGAGGCGGTGGGAGAAGTGAGCCTGGGTGTGTATGGTGCGGCTGGAGGATTTGCTCAGCCCAGGGCAGGCAAGGAGACCGGGTTTCTTCTCTCTGTCTTCTTCCATTGTTATTTCTCGCCGGTTTCCTCATTCTCCGTTTCTCTGGGAAGCTCCCTCAATTTGCTCTCATCCGTCCCCCTCCCTGCTCCTCTCTCCGCATATTTCTGCCCACCTGGCTGGCTCCCCCGTCACGTGACCCGTGCATCCATCATTTTATTGCCAGCCCAGCTGCTGGTCTGCACCGGGCTCCGCAGAGGCTGCAGGGCGCGCATGCGCAGCTGCAGGTGCACCTGAGTGCAGACGGTCCGGGTGCATCTTAGAGCCGCAGTGGCGCCCTGACTGGGTGTAGCTTTGGAGGGGAGGCAAGAGGAGAGGAGGCGAGGGGCGAGGGTGAGTGGACCCTCTCCGGCCTACACCCCCAGAGGAGATCGGGGTCTGTTGCCCGGATGTTCCTAAGCTGTCCAAAGAGTCCAGCTTCGCCTTAGGTCAGGGCTCTGGGGTTGCGCCCTTGGTGCTGGAGTGTTTTCCTGGGCCTCAGGAAGTCAGTTTAGTCATCCATCTGCTCTTAGAGCAGTGTGACTTTGACTAGGTGACTTGACTCTCTACGCCCGAGGACAAAATGATATTAACAGCACCTACTTCATTCGAGCTGGAGAATCTGAAATTTCCTGAAGACTCATTGCATAGTGCCAGGCTTGGTTCCAACTCATAACAAATGCAGATAAGAGATCAGAACAAAGGGTGGTACTGTATGACAGCTGTTGGTCATCTCCATGGCTCCTCGGAGCCATCCTGGGCAACTTGCCTGCAAGTTTTATTGTTCCTGTTCACAAATGGGGAAATCAAGACTCAGAGATAGCAAAAAGTCTTGAGCCAGATGTTGGAATCCACGTACAGAGTGATTCCAGCGAGAGTCCTGAGTCACAGGTGAGTTCAGAGTCATTCTTTGAACTATCTGGTTCAAAATAATTCCCATTCTGATTTTGGCCACTCCAGGTGTCATCTTAGGTACACATCTGCAGGGAACAATTTTTTGTTTGTTTGTTTTTCCTGCCACAGAAACTGAGAAGCAGCTATGTTTTACTTGCAATGATCGTTGGCATAGATCACCCAGAAGTCCTGGAATCCTATGGCCAGGCCCACATCTAGAGGCTCGTCCTCCTGCCCTGCCCTCACTCAGGCCATTTACGCTCTGTATTCCTGGAAGAACCAGAATTCTTTCTGTCTGTCACTGGGTCTTTGTACTAGGTCTGTGTTTTGCCTAGTCGCTCTCTCATCCCAACCTTTTACCATCTTTTTTTTTTTTTTTTTTGAGACAGGGTCTCTCTATGTAGTTCAGGCTGGCCTTGATTCTCCCACCTCAGCTTCCCAAAGGCTTGGATTACAGGGGTGTGCTCCCCTTGCTACCTTCTGTTGAGCTCAGGCAGCCTGCACTGGCTGCAGTCTGGCCAGTACACTGCATTGGATCCCCAGTCACTCACTGTCACAGCCTTTGTCCTGTTTCAGAACTTTCCAGGGTGAAAAAAACATAAAAACAACAAAACAAAACAACCTTTCCAGGGTGGAAACTCTGTGCTCTTCATGATTCCTTGACTCCCATCTGTCTCTCTGACTAGAACACCAAGCTCCTTGAGCATAGCAATGTTTCTATCCTATCCACTGTGTGGCTGGGACCTTGACCATGCATGTAAGCTTTCACTGACCCCCTGCCTGGCAAGTGACCGGAGAAGCCCTCATTATCTATATTTTTTAGCTGCTAAAAAAATTTCCAGCTTCTAATTTATATTTTCGTGGCAGATGTAGAAACTGCAGTCTTAGATGACACATGCCAGCTAGCATGTGTTATCCAGGGGCATCCTTGGTCTCCTTACCGGTAGGTGCTTTCTCCTTTTCCAGACACATCCAGGAGCCTCCACATGTGCAGGGGGCAAAAGCAGGAAGAGTGACACATGAGAACTTTCTTTCTCTAGGAAGTCACATCAGGGCTCTGATAGGATAGACTGGGCTGGAGGTGAGAAAATGGACAGATCTGGCTTGCTGGTGGCTGAACTAGGACTCCTGGCATTTTGTCCAAGCTTGGCTACTATTTGCTTCAGGACTTTGGAAAATTCCTCTTTAGGCCTCAGCTTCTTTTCTTGTTCAGAATAAAATAATGGCTCAGATTCCAGGTTTCAGAATTGATCACTGCTTTGGTACTTACTGCCTAACACTTATTTATCCTATCTGAATCTTAACTCCCTCATCTGTAAAATGTTGTTTCTTTAAAATATGAAGAAAAGGACCTAGCTTGTAGAGCTGTTCCAAATATTTACTGAGTTCACTGATTTTATTACTAGGAGCTCATCTATCCTTTTAAGTCTGTAATTAGCTTCTCTTGTTGGTTTTTCTTTGAGGCGAAATGTGTTCCTCTTCACCCCTACCCCTCCAGGGCCTGGGATTAAACCCAAAGCCTCCAACATACTAGGTAAGCACTTTATCACTGAGCTACCTTCCCCTCCCAAACCTTGTCCCCTATTTCAAAAGCAACCTTTCCCATCTACAAAGAAAAGTTTACTTTGGTAAATGTGGACTCCAGGAAAGAGACATTGATTCTAGGGTTTATCCCACAGTATATCCTATCAGATTTAGGATTTGGAGCCAGGCATATACTGTAGCATTCAGAAGGCTGAGGCAGGGGGGTTGCTGGGACTTTGAGGCCAGCCTGGCCTACACAGTAAGTTCAAGCTCAGCCTGAACTACATAGGGAGACTCTGCTTTAAAAAAAAAAAAAAAAAAAAAGATTTAGGATTTGGAAACTGCTAGCTTCCAAATTCCAATGCATGGCTGTAGCTAAAAGTACTTGTTAATGAATGATAGATATACCTTTTGACAGCAAGTCTAATGCTTTTCCACCGGGTGGAACAGGCCTACATAATATGAGCATCAAGGAAAGCAGAGGTGGAAAGGTTGCAAATTTGAGTCCCACCTTGGCAGATTTTATTTTAAAAAATAAAAAAGTGCTGGAGATGTAGCTCACTGGTGGAGAGGGCTTGGGTTCGACCTCCTGTATGTGTGTGCGCCTAATTATTGTGAGGATTTAATGAGTTGATTCTTTTTTTTTTTTTTTTTTTTAGTCTTTTTCGTTTTTATCGGTACCAGGGATCGAACTCACAGCTGCCTCAGTCCCTATGAGTTGAGTCTTTTAAGACCCTCTGCACAGAGCTTGTCACATAATAACAGCCCAATCAATGGTGGGTATATGAACATAGATGTATCAGTGTATCCCAGATTGTTGTGGTTTAGAGATGGTACTCCTGATAAAGAGATTAACTTCCAGAGTTCCTTCGGTGGCAGGTGAAAGTGGAAAGATCCCAGAAAGACCAAAGATAGATCATAACGGGCTTTTAGGAAGATGCCTGTTGCCAAGGATTTCAGTGCGGAGGTGGCACAGGACACTTTAGCACTCTGCACTCAGAGCGCGCACGGCTGCTCGGGCGCGCGCGGCGCGTGAGGTGAGGGGGAGGGCGCGGCTCTGGCACCAGCCGGGGGCTGCCTAGAGCTCAGCCGCATCCTGGAAGGCGGAGCCGAGCGTCTGGGGCGCGGTGTGATTGGCGGAGGCGCGCGGCTGATGTTGACGGCTGGCGCGAGACCCCGCCTCTGGACGGCCCCGCCCCTCTCTCTCGCGCGCGCCTGGGCAGCCTCGCTCCGGTTCGCGCCGCGCCCCCGCGCCGAGTCCGCGCGTCAGTCGGTCCCGAGCGCGGCTGCGAGGCGGCGGGCTGCAGCTAACCTAGTGCGCCGGCCAGGGAGGTGGTGTCCGCGGGCGTCGCGGGAGGAGACTCGGAGCCCAAGACTCGCGCAGCGCCATGGCCCCCATTGGCCTCAAAGCCGTGGTCGGAGAGAGTAAGTGGCGGGAGCCGGGGTCTTTTCCCTCAGGCGGGGCCACGGCTGCTCGAGAGCGGGCGCCGCACTGGCCGCAGCGCCTTCAGCTCCCAGCCTTTCCTGGCTGCCCGCCCTCCCTGCCCGGAGTTCCGGGTGCGGGTCCTCGCAGCGCCGCTCTCCCCGGGGGAAGTCGCCCCCGGCTTCCCCGGTCTCGACCCATTGGTCTCCCTCTCCTCCCTCACCCGCCTCTGCGTCTCTCCTCTCCCGCTTCGCGCCATCCCGCCGCCATCACCCCTCGTCTCCTCGTCAGCATCCTCTTGCCTTCCCACCGCCTCCCCCGCTGGCCCCGCACTCCGTGCCTCTGCACCCCGGGGCCCTGTTCGGTTCCTTTCGCCCGCCCGCATCGCGCAGCCCACTGCCTTCCCCTGCAGCGCGGCATCACCCTTTACACCCGGATTCATTCTTCACTCTTTCCCTACTTCTCCCCACTTCCTTTCCTTTATCCTCGGATTCCGCTCCTTTTTCTCTCTGCGGTCCCTCCCTCTTCCCCACCCGCCCTCGCGAATCGTGACGAGCGGGATCGCGGCCCGCGTCCTTCTACCCTTCCCGGGGGGCGCCGCGCAGTAATCCCAGTCCCCGTCCCCGGTCCTTGTCCCCGTCTCGCAGCGGCGACCCACCTGGTCCGCTCCCGCAGCTGGGGCGGGGACGCCTGTTTGCCCCAGGCCCAGCGCTGCGGGCTGGGCCGGGCTTAGTGGCCAGGGCGGGGTCTCCTGGGGTCGCGAACCCCCCGGTGAGACGGGGCCAGCACCGCTGCGCGGCGGAAGGAGCGGCCCTGGTCTGCACTGCTGTCTGCAGTCTCCCTGTTCGCAGGGCCCGGCGCTGGCTGGGCGGAACGAGAGCTTCGGGCAGCTCGGACAGCTGCGGCCGCCGCAGCAGGAGGAAATAGTCGTTTCTGGGTTGGGATGAAAGGCAGAACGGACGTGGAATTTTTAGCAGGGTGGTGCACGGCGTCCCCAGCCGGGGGAGGCCGACGGTGGGGAAAATTAAGGAGAGGTGTTCCGGTGCTGAATAAGATGGGTGATAGGTGTGGAAGCACGGCGTTTCTTCGTGTTTATTTTTACGTCTCCTTATAACAAAAAAATGTGTGAGGATGGCTGTGGCTTTGCTACTTCTTTTAGGACAAAATTAAAATTGGAATTTTTTTTCTGTAGGAGAGGGTAAATAAGGAGAATGCAAATGGTGGAAATTTACAGTTTTCAGTGATTTCCAAGATAAATGATTAATTAGCCTTCCTCTGTCTTTCTCTGTATCTGCTATCGAATGCTTTTGGAGGTGCTGTATATGGTTCTTTTTGAACATCCCGTTTCCCAGCATTCTTACTTTATTCATTGGGAAATGTTTCTACTGAGGAATCTTACCTGACTTAATACATTGGAACAATTTTTTTTTTTTAAAAAAAGAACCTCAAGTGAACATTTTAAAAAACGTTCATGAATCCCAGCACTTGGAAGGCTGTGAGTTTGAGGCCAGTCTGACTGCGTAGTGAGACCTTGTCTCCCTTGCTCCCCCCCAAAAAGAAAAAATTATACTGCAGGTTGCTACTGTTGTAAAGATTCTGATACTGTTAAGCTCTGTAGCGCTGTATTCTGAGGTGAATCAGTGTTTAAGGCTGGGGGTGTCCTTAGGGATCCTCTAATGTCAACACCGCCCCCCCCCCTTTTTTTGTCTTTTTATCGGTACCCGGTATCGAACTCACGACTGCCTGCTTGCAAGGCAGGCGCTTATGCCGCCGAGCTAAATCCCCAGCCCCAGCATCCTTATTTTAACCATGAGAAAGAAATGGAGGTAAATAGCTTGCTAAAAATCATTGTTAATTTTTTTAAAACCTGGTCTCTATTTCCTAGCAACTTCAGTAAAACAAACAAACAAACAAACAAAAAAAAAACAGCCATCATTTTATATATACCATTTGCTTCCAACCCTTTTAAAAGGTCATGAATTATATCATGGAATGTTAAGTTCTTTTAGATATTGTACTGAATCCTGCCTATTGAAGATAAAATACCTAAGTGTTACAGAAATCAGATTTTTTCATCTCTTAGCCAGGACCCTTGTTCAGTAAGTGGCTCCTTGGTCCTCTTCCCTTGCCTTTTTTATTTATTTTTATTTTTGGTATCAGGAACTGAACTCAGAACCTCACTTGCTAGGCAGATGAGGTACCACTGAGCTGAATCCCTGGTCCCTTGCCTTTTAAAAAATCAATTAGTTAATTTTTGGTACTGGGAATCAAACTCAAGACTTTGCACTTGCCACACAGGCGCTTATGCCGCTGAGCTATATTTGTACCTTGTTTAGAAGCAAGCATAAAGGTTAAAAAAATGCAATATGGGCAGATTTTTATTTCTGAAAACAAAAGTTACTCTGCACAAAATATAAAACCAAGCAAATTTTACATAAAATTGGTGCATAAGCTGGCTATGGTGGCACATACCTGTGATCCCAGCCCTCAGAAAACAGGCAAGTGGATTGAGGCCAGCTTGTACTACATAGCAAGATCTGCCTCACTCATCCCCCACCCCCCAAAAAAACCCTGGTGAATATGTGATGAGGGTTCAATTCTTATGACAATTGAATTAGATAGATGTGAACTCTTTTTTTGTGGGAGGAGTACCAGGAATAAAACTCAGGACCTCACACTTGCCAGGCAAGTGCTGTGCCACTAAGCTAAATCCCTAGCCTCGTTGTGAATTGTTAATAAACATATTAAGGTATATTTTAAGTAAATAGTTAATATATTCAACCTTTTGTCAGTGACAGAGTAATTCTGGTGCCTAATTTTAGATGCAGTTTATAGCTTTGCCTTCTTCTCTGAAAAATAAAAATAAAGATATTTTCTAACTGGTGTACACCAGTTTATCATCTTTATAGCCTGTCTTCCTAATCAGATTTATCCTATTGTGACTATTTATCATATTATACATAGTAACTGAAAGTGCTTACTTTCTTCATAGCAATTAAAATGATCTGAAATTACCTTGTTCAGTTTTTTAGTTGTTTGCTATTATTTCTTGGGGAGAGGGGGCTACTTGTTTGGTTGTTTGATCCACCTGCATATTACTTCTTTATTTGATGTGTCCCGGTGTCAAGAATAGTGGCTCACATATAGTGGCTGGCATTTATTCATTGTTGGATGAATAAATGTTGTTTAGGATATGAAGGAGAGCAAAAGAAATGTAGTTTTTGGTCCCTTGTTCCTTATTTCCCTTGGTTGCTGAGGATGGAAACCAGACCCTTGAGCATACTTTGCAAGTGCTGTACTGTGCAGCCACCTCCTAGTCTTTCTGAGTTGAGCTTTAATGAGTAGCCAGTAGGGGCATACCCAATAAATATAGAGATGTGGTTAACTTTAGTTATTCATTCAACAAACAGTTGTTCAGCCAGGGATATAGCTTAATAGCATAAATAACTACCTGCAAGTGCAAGGTCCCGAGTTTGATTTCTGGTACAAACAAATAAACAAACCACAGTTGTTGAGTACTTGCTAGGGACTATGGGATTTACAAAGCCAGGTAAAACATGGGACTCATACTGTTGTGACAAACAGATCATTCTGAGAGATTTTCCCTGTCACTTCCCCAACACATTTAGGACCTCCTCAGTGTATTGCACTTCTATGTGTTGGTTTTACCCACCCAAATAGTTATCTCTCCCTCTCCCCCTTTCTCCTGCTCTTTTTCTCTCTCTTTCACTCTCCCTCTCCCTCTCTCTGTCTTTCTTACTGAGGCAGGGTCTTGCTATTTAGTTCAGAATGGCCTTGAACTCACTATGTAGCCCAGGCTGGCCTGGAACTTGTAGCAGTCCCCCTGCCCCAGCCTCTTATTATAGGGATGTACCACAACAATCCCTTTCTTTCCTTTCCTTTCCTCTCCTTTATTTTTCTTTTCTTTCCTTTTTTTTCTTTCTCCCATTCCCAAGTTCTCACTTTATGCCTTTCTCCTTTTCTCCCTTTTCTCTCACTTTCTGTCCCTCTCTACCTCTCTGTCTATCTGTCTGTCTGTCTCCCTTTTCCTTTCTCTTCCTTTCCCTTTCCCTTTCTTTCCTGTACTGGAGGTAGAATCCAGGGCCTCTAGGCAAGTGCTCTACTACTGAACTGCACTCCAGGCCCAGAGCTTAACATTTTTTTTGGAGAGAGAGGGCTTTTCTTACACTTATCTTCAGTGCATGACTTAGTGTCTGGCACCCAGTTGATGTTGGATGAATGACTAACAAGAGAATGAATTCTGGAATTAAGCTTTTGTGATAAAATTCAGACTCATTCGTGCCTCAGTTTCTTCATCTGTAAAGTGGGTAATAGGTCAGACATGGTGGGCCACACCTGGATTCCAGTACTCCAGAGACTGAGGCAGGAGAATGCACTACAAGTTTGAGGCCAGCTTGGGCTACATAGCTTAAGGCCAACCTGAACTATAAAAGGAGACGCTGTTTTATTTAAAAAAAAAAAAAAAAAAGGAAGAAGAAAAAAAAAGAAAAGTGCAGATAGTAGCATTGTCTGTCTTGGGTTTTATGAATATTAAATGAAGGAATCCAATGTTAGCATTTAGCATGGTTCCTGGCACACAGTAAATTCAGTGTTATCATTATGAAAAGTTCCACAAAGGTCAGTAAAAGTGTCAGGATTTGAGAAGAGACAGTCTACCTCTGTCCTATGGGACCCAGTTTTGGCAGAGAAGATAGAGCAGGTAAAGTTCTTGGAGGAAGCACAAATGAGTTGCAAAAATCAAACCGAAGACCATACAGACAAATCGATAAGCAGATCCCCAACTTCTATGTCCAGCTCTACTCCTTGCTTTACTTCTGATTCCGATTTTTTCTCGTCACCATTTTCTTTCTCTACCTAGTAAAGATACTGTAAGAGAAAGGAGAATTTGGTTTTTGTGGCACCTGTGTATTTTATTGCAGCATGTGATATTTCAGTCATGTAAATCCATATTGTAGTCAAATTTATTCCCATCCACTGGAGT